CCAACAACCTGAAAGGCATGACTTTGTAGGGTCGAGTTTCGGTCGCCATGCAGCTTAATAGGAACCAAAAAGACGGAAACTGCCATCTTACGGCGGGTAATGTTTGGACTACATTGGAGTTTCATTCCACCATTCCCTAACCTCTAAATCCTGAGCTCTGAACCCTTAACCCTCAACTTTATAGCCCCTCTTAAGTAGATAGAATATGGGGTATCTGGGGAACTTCTCACAATATACCCGAAGCCATATTCTATCTACTTAAGAGGGGACTGTAACCCTAAAACCAGTAGGGTATTGGTCTAAAATCCCTATAATACGGGGTCCTATATTTGGGTTCCCATTATAATACGGGGCCCTATATAAACTTCCCCCATTTTGGGAACTGTAATTTAGGGAAACTACCAGTAAGCCGCAACATCATCATCACGAGGAGCTTGAGAGCGCCCCGGAGTGCCGCGACAAATCTCTGCTAGGGCTTCACTTATCAAGATTTGGGTTTGGGATATAAAGGTTTAGCCTTAAAGGTTATAGGGATCAGGGTTTAGGGTTCAGGGCTTAGAATTCATGAGTTTAGGGTCGAAGGGTTTGGAGTTTAAGGGTTTAGGATTTAAGGGTTTAGGGTTTCCGGCTGTCATTGAAGTCGCGTTCACCGCGAGCATGCTATAGTTCCCAATATGTATATCGTAAAATCATGGAGAGTCACATGGACAATCGAATGGAACATCAAATCATGTCAAATGCAGACTGGCATTGCTGAAAGAATTGAGTAGTATTTTTACGGTTTGGGTTTAGGGTTTGTTTGAGGGTACTCTCGATCCCTCCAGAGGAGGTTCTAGGCGATATGGCGAGGACTTACATACGCCATATATCGGGATTTGTAGGGAGAACTAGAGTCGAAATTGTTGCACGCATTGCATTCTGTTTGGGAATACTACAGCAATATGGATATCCTCCTTTTGGGTGTTGTTGTCCTATTTTCATGAAACAGCATAATCTTAATTGGTTCAACCACCCAAATAAGCTACTCATCTGTTTGGGGTGTACTTAGAGTATCCCGGGATCTCTGGAAGTATTACTTTGACCTCTAGAAAGGTGAAAGGAGTAGTTCAGGGATTCGGTTCATGAGATTTAGGATTTGGGGTTGGTCTTGCTTGCTTGGAGGGAGTTACTAAGCGTGCGAAGAATCCGTGTAATCCTCTCATTGTCCCACTTATCTTCGTTATGGAGGCTCAATGTCCCTGATCCCCCAAGTAGGAGTTGGAGGATACCTGCAAACCCCACATGCTACTCATTTGGCAGTCCTAGCCCATCACGTGCCTGGTATAACCCACTAAACTGTAGGGACATGGTGACATGGGGTTACATGTAGAACCCTAAGCCCTAAACCCTTAACGGCAACACCTAAGCCCTAAAACTAAGACCCAACCAGGCTGTCAAGATTTCGGGGCTTCAGGGCTCAGATACGGCGTAGATGGTTTAGGGTCTAGGGTTTAGGATTGAGGGTTTAGGATTTAAGGTTTAGGGTTAGGTTAGGCGCTTGTTTGGCTGTAGAAGCAATCCTGCTCCTACGTGCATCAGTACTCCCAAACAAGCTTCGTAACTCACCTTAGAAAACTAAGCCTATAGGGCTGGACCTTCAACCCTTAACCCCCAAAGCCGAAAACCTCAAAACCTTTAGTCCTAAATCCTAAAGCCCCAGACCCTAAATAGTGGTTTTCAATTTCTTTGCCATTCTCCGTATATAACCCCTATATACCCGTAGAAGCCCACAGCTCAGGTATGTGGCTGCCAAGCGCTTTATCCAAGATCCCGCTGCGGAGCGTGAGAGGCAGCGGCAGGAGCTCCTAGCAGATCTCGAGGCTGTCAGTGTGCAAAAGGTGTAGGGTTCAAGGGGTTTAGGGTTCAGGGGTTTAGGGGTTTAGGGTTTGAGGGGTTTAGGGTTTTAGGGTTTAAGGGGTTTAGGGTTTTAGGGGTATAGGGTTTAAGGTGGTTTGAGGGGTTTAGGGTTGAAGTGTTTTAGGGGTTTAGGGTTTAGTGTTTTAGGGGTGTAGGGTTTAAGGGTTTTAGGGGTTTAGAGTTTGGGGTTTTAGGGGCTTGGAGTTCATGGTTTTAGGGATTTAGGGCTTCGGGCTTAGGGGTGCAGGGGTTAGGGTTAGGGTTTAGGGTTCGGGGTTCTGGCTTGGGGTTTAGGAATTGGGAGGGAGGAAGGTTTAGGGCCTGGGTCCACCATTTGGGTCAAGGACTTCTGAGCATGTAGGATTGAAGGTTGTGGGCTTGGGGCTGAAGATTTGTTTTTAAGCTTGGGGCTTGGGGCTTAGTGTTCAAGGGTTGGCGTTTAGGGTCCTAGGGCCTGGGGCTTGTAAGGTTTGAGGTGTTGGGCTTTGGGCGCGCGGTTAGCGGCTGGGGGTTCACGGTTTACGGCTTGTTGTGCTGCTAGTGCGCTGTCGACACTCCACAACGTAGTTAGGGGTCGGCGCATAGGGCCTAAACCCTACAGGGCGAGGGGTCGGCGCTCAGGGCTTATGCCCATTTTTTCAGACAGGTCTAAAGTTCAAGCTTTGCTGTCCTAAACCCGAACCCGTGCTTTCAGGGTTGGGGTTTAGTGTTTATGGGAATCAGCGCTTTGTGTTCGGGGCTTGTGTGGAGTACGTTAAAACTGGGGATTATATACACGGGATAAGGAGATCTAGACATGACGCTATTCGGCTTATAGCTTGACTTGGAATTACATCCTACCAGTATCTACCAGTGTGAGGGCGGTTAGAGATGGTTTCGGGTGATCCTTTCTATCCCCTATAGTCACTATTACAGGGTGGGGGTCCTCCTAATGCATAGTACTACTGTATGAAGAAGAGGTCTTATTAGAGGGTTGGGCCCTGCATACTCCTACATAAATACAACCCTAAACCCTAAACTTAAACACTAAACCCCGAACCCTACAACCCCAACCCCTAAAACCCTCAACCCTATACCCTGAGGGGAAAATGGTCCGAGAAAAAAAAAACCCTGAACCCTTCAACCCTAACCCCTTAAACCGGGTATCATCAGGCCAAAGCCCGTGCTGCCATCGCCGAGCGCGACCTCACAGCGGCTACAGCGGCTCTTGCGGACCGCTTTGGTAGTTACTGAAAGGGTTGAGGGTTTAATGTAGGATATATAGGAGGTATACTGGGATAATGGAAAAGAAAATGGAAACTACTGTTTAGGGTTTAGGGTTAGGGATTAGGGTTTTGGGTTAGGTTTTGGGGTTGAGGGTTCAGGGTATAAGCCCTATAGACCCTAAATGTTATACACGTTCTATGCTACAAAGCTTGCAATACCAGACAAGGCTTGGAACAAGGATCACAAGCCCTCCTAGCTAAATCCTAAAGCTGGAAAATTGGAAGAAATGATTGTCTAGGTACGCCAGTAATGTGGGTCTCCTTATTCAAGCTGAACATTAGGAAAAGGGGTATTCTTAATCTGAAGAGATTACTCCGAAACCTAGTGGTAATTTCCATGAACCGGGGTCCCCCAAATTGGAAACCCCAAGGCAATATCATCCTTGATATGTGGACCCCAAAACGGGGCCCCTAATTTTGGGAAACTTTCACTTCGAGCAGCTCGGAAACAAGTTTCCAGGAGTTCCGCGCTGCTGGCGGTGTGAGTGGCAATGAGGCGAGGACTTGGGGTCTGCATTGAGCTTGTTCTTACTTGGCGGTTCATGGGTAGGTTATAGGTTATGGGTTTAGGGTTTAGGGTAGGTTATGGGTATGGGTCTTAGAGTTTTGTTCTTACTTGGAGGTCCTCTAGGGGCTTGTATGCGGGGCATATAGTGTTCTGGGTTTAGATGCCAATAGTGGAGAATCAAACGGAAAAGAGCTTGGAAACTTGAAGGGACACCAGGAGGGTTATAGTCTTACCTCAGCGCAGGAATGAACAAAGTGGAAACTGCTATAGTATTATGTTCATAATGGACTACTATCAGGATCCATTCCTTCATTCCTCGCTTACCAGAGAAGCTGAGCTTCTTACTTCGAGGTTCCTGGGTCATGTAGCAGCCTACGCAATATTACGGTTCCATCTTCCTAGTATGGTTATAGTATAGGGTAGCTCAAACAGAATTCATCACGATTTTTGCCTTGATTTAGGCCCCTACAGTAGGAAGCAGTTATACGCAGGGTTATAGGTGGCCCAGATAAGGGGCATTGCCAACCCCCAATCAGAGCTGATGACTATCATGTTGCTTCTATAGGTCCGTATTATGGGGTCTGGGGTTGTCAAGGCCCTGTCACTATTGAGAAACACACTCAAAATATGACCCCAGGTTACATTTCATCTGTCCCGGTTTTCTTTTCCTTGTGAGTCTGCAGACCCTAAACCCTAAAGAATCCAAGCCAACCCTAAACGTTACATAAACCCCAAGCCGACCTTAAACTCAAAATCCCCTTATATTAGGTCCATACTGTTGATAGTGTAATTCCTGTATGACCTTCGTATGATATGGCACCATAATTCCTAGGCTATAAGGATTCAGGGTCACGCAGGTTTTTAAGTATCCGCCCAAAAGCTTAGACTCTAATCCCTCGACCCTATACATCCCTTTACCCCAGCTTAACAATTGCTTAGGGAACCTGAACCCTGAGCCATAGTATCCACCAAAACCCTAAACCCTCAACCCTAAACCCTGGACTTGGTGAGGCTGGTTCCGTGGCTGCGGACATCGCTGCCTTACGATCTGAGCTTGCTGTGCCTCGGATTTAGGGTTTAGGGTTACTTGGAGGTTCACGGGGACATAGTAATAATTTCAAAGAAAATGGAAACAACTTTTTTACTTTTTTGGCGTAGGTCCAGCAGGACTTGGTAAAGATAGGGGGAGGGGGGTTCAGGGTTTAGGGTTGGTTTAGGGTGGACAATTTAGGACTTAGGTTTGGCTCAGGATGTATGATTCAGGGTTTAGGGTCATCTTTTTAAGCCCAGGCCATTCGTGGCTTCAAGCGTGGGTCCTCTCCTGGGCCATCCGGCCTCCGGGCAGACCATCTCCGAGAAGCTCTGCTCACCGCGCATAGTGATGAGGTTGCCTTGCACTTGGCTGCCCTTTGCCACCTCCTTGCCAGGGGAGAGGCCCCTGCGTCCCTTGCACCCCACCTTGCGGGCGGCACCCTGCACGCCCTCCCCAAGCCGAGCGGGGGGGTAAGGCCCATTGCTGTTGGGGAAGTACTCCGTCACCTGGTAAATAAGTTGTTGTGCCAGTCTGTCCGGGAGGAGGCCCGGGACCACCTGTGGCCCTTGCAGCTTGGAGTCGGGGTGCCCGCCGGCACCGAGGCCGCCATCCATGCCACTCGGCACTGGCTGCACCGCAACTCCGGCCATGCGGATAAAATCCTTCTCAAACTGGATTTTCGCAACGCCTTCAATGCTATCGACCCCACGGCAATGCTCCGTGAGGCTCGCGCGCATCTGCCAGAGGTCGTTTGCTGGGCTGACTGGTGTTATGGGTCGCCTTTCGTCTCCTCTTTGCCGACAATGTCGTGGAGTCTTGTTGTGGGGTCCAGCAGGGAGACCCTCTTGGCCCCATGCTTTTCGCGCTCACCTTCCCTCGACCTGTGTTTTGGGTTTTTGGATGATGTTGTTCTAGCCGGCACCAGCCGACTCACTTCCCAAGCCCTCCCCAGCCTCACAAACCAGGCCGCGGCTGTTGGGCTCGAGCTGGAGCCAGCCAAATCGGAGGTCATCATCACCAGTCCCACAAGCAGCGCTGACCTGCGGGGCCTCCCCGGTGGCTTTGTCAGACGACATGGCGAATTCACGTTGCTCGGGGCTGCTGTTGGGGGCCCAGCGTTTTGCAACCAGCATGCACGTGCTCGAGTTGAGGCCGCCTGCCCGCTCTTCGATGCCTTGGCCGCCCTCCCCGACCCTCAGACGGGTCTCCTCTTGCTCCGCCACTGCAGTTCTTACTGCAAAGTTGCCCACGACATGCGTGTGACCCTTCCAGCCTTGCAGGATGCCGCCCTTCGTGGCTTCGACGACCAGGTCCGTGTCTGCCTTGAGTCCTTGGGAGGTCTCTCACTGTCAAGAGATGCTTGGCGGCAGGCCTCGCTCCGCATCGGCCTGGGCGGCCTTGGCCTCCGCAGTGCTGCCCGGCACGCACCCGCAGCCTACACTGCTTCCTGTTGCGTTGCGTCCTGCCAAACACTTGATGCCAATTACAACAGCGAACTCTCGGCCCCAGTATAGCCCTGTTCAGCGGGGCCGTAGCGCAGCATGCCTTGCCCGTCGCTCCAGGCCATGTCCCGCAACAACGCCTGTCAACAGCTCTGGATGAGGCTGAACGAGACGCCTTGCTCTCTGAGGCTGATGGCGAGGCTCGCCGCGCCCACCTTCGGGTTTTGCAAGAACCCGTACACTCCTGCGCCTCCGCCTGCGGCTCCCTGTTGCTACTACTGAGGGCTACTGCCCCTCGTGCGATGGGGTCGCGGACAGGTTCCGCGACCATGCTCTAGTGACTCTAGTGTGTTACCCTCGCCGCGCGCGCAGAAGCTGCAGGCCTCTCCCCAGAAGTTGAAAAGCCGGGGCTTCTTCCTGCCCGCCCCACTGAGCTGGGCTTCACTGCGCAGGGACTCCGCCCCGCTGACGTCTATGTCCCGCAATGGGGCCTGCGTGGCCCTTCGCGGGCCTCTGCTGCATACGAGGCGCGGAAGCGCTCTCACCAACATACTGAGGTCCCCCTGGTCGCCGAAGCTTGCGGGGGCGGGTGGGGCAAGACGGCTGTGATCACATGGCGCACCCTTGGATCCCTCATTTCAGCCCGGACAAGGGGAATCCACAAGCATAGTCATCGAGCAACTGCTTCAAAGCCTCAGCGTTTCTCTCCAGCGCGAGAACGCCCGTGCAGTGCTCCGACGCTTGCCGACTGCTGCAGCTGCCCTGCCTGGCCTCCCAGACCCGTGATCTCCCCTAGGGACCCTAGTGGTTGTAGTCCCTTCTCCCTTGCCGAGCGTAAGGCCCTTTGCCATCTCCTGCCTGCCTGCATTGCCTTTCCGGCCCCGTGCTATGAACCCCTGCTGAGACGCGTAGCGCCCGCGCTGCCCTCTTCCTCTGCCTGGCCTCTGTGGGTTGTTGGGTTGGTTGTTCTGGTTCTTGGGGTTGGTTGTTTCGGCTCCGGGCCGGTTGGAAGAGGGTATGGGGCTTGTATGACAGACTCTTTTGCATTTCACCTCACCGCTGCCAGGGTTTTTCTCCCGCTGGGTTTTTCCCTGGCTTGTATAGATGCGGGTTTCGCTTACCTAAGATTCTTGCAATTTGTTGTCATCTTTTTAGTCATTGTTCAAATTGTTTTTTGTTCAGGCTTTCAGGCTGGTTCTTCGTATGCAGTATTTAGCCTAGGGTTGACGATTTTAGTGTTAGTCATGGGTTGCCCCGCTACCTCCCTAGGTTCCCCTTTAGGGAAGCAGGGATGGTTAGCACTCATTAAAGTTAACCAAGGGGGAACCTTGGGGAGGGGGGGGGTAGTGTAGCAGTGGGGAACCCATAAGTGTAAGGATCGCGTCTCAAATCGCTAATTGCCGGCTGCACGGTAGTAGCTACAGGTGGGGTTCCCTCTCTCAAAGCCAAAGAAGCTTTAGGGTTGTGGGGCTGGGATTAAAGTTGAGGGTTTAGTTTTTTGGGGGTTTAGGGCTTGGGGCTACATCGGAACCCCAATGGGAACCTGCACAGATGAATGTATTTCTCAAAGGGGGCTATGCGGGGTTCCATGTTAGTTTGGGTAGCGCGCACGCGTAGAACATCTGGGAACTAATCATGCATGAGCCTCGCTAACCACGGCCATGACATGAGCGGGTTTAAGGTTTAGGCTTTTCATAAAAACTCGGAAACATCCATAAGGCTTCCAGGCGGGCTGGGAAGTTTCTGATAGCTGTGAGTGGGATCCTCGACGTAATGTCCTCTGTTTAGCTGATTTTTTGACCCACTAGGCCAGTCAACTACATTTCTTTGGGCACGCACGATGCAGGCAAGCGGGGTTTTAAGTGAATAGATCACAGCAAACTGTTCAAGACGGGCACAAACGGGGGCACAAACAGGCAACCACATCTGAATTCGCTTCGCCCCTTTAAAAGTTGAAGCTGTCCCCAGGACTGAGAACATGGTTGTGGCATTTGTTCGCGGTTTAGGGCTTAATTAGGGGTCGCCATGATAAGAGTGACAAGACAACACCCAAAATGGTGAGGTTCCAAAGCCTGGAAGAGCTCAGGCAGAGAAAAAGGATCCGGATGAGCAGCGGAAGCGGATGGAGCAGCGAAAGGCGGCAAAGAAAAAAGGCTTCCAGCACCTCTGCTGCAAAAAGAGGCTTTGGTTTAGATCAGGGTTTTGCATCCCATGTTGCCCGTGATACTACCCATGCCCTAACACACCCCAAACAAGATCCGAATACGTTTCATTAAGGGGCATCTAGGAATTGTTTGGGTTCCCCCTTTGATTGGGTTGCGTGAAGGTGGTGGTATAGGATGCCATTGCTTTTTAGGTTTCATGTAGGACTGAGGATTTGGAAGTTAAGTTTGACGGTTTGTTTGTTCGATGTGGAGTCTGGGACCTACCCCTATATGGGTTGATCTGAAGGTTCTTTGGGGAAATTACTCAGGGTTCCTGTAGGCCAAAAAGGAAGATGTTGCATAGCTTTTTTGCCACCCTAAACCTTTAACCCTACCACATTAATGTTTCCAGATAATATACTTGTTCTAGCTTAAGTGCTACATAAGTAACTTGGGGTGTACTTATCATAAGCTCATTTTAAGTAGGGTAAGTAGTTTTAAGTTCAACACAATTAGACCCTAAGTAGCCACTGTTTTTTTGCAATTCCTGGTTTCGAGTTCAATGACATGAAAATGTAGGTTTTGCAATATTTATGTTTTTTTTTGAGCTATGTTACATAGACAGAGTTGCAATTATCATTTTTTTAAATTATGACATAATTGTTTTTTGTCCTTTCTCTCGTGCCGCTTTTCAGTGCAGAAAGAGAACTTTGTCTTTGCCAGGCCTACGTATTGCCACCAGCTAGGCAAAGTCAGCGGCTCTTGCAGACAAGGCTTCAGAAACACATTTTGCGATGTCAGGTTCCAAATGCTTCCAACTTCAGCTTCTGTTGCAGACCTTGCCGCGTGCAGCCATAGATGTAAAGCTTGGTTTTTGACCCAGTACAGCATTTCACGTTACCAACTCCTACACTGTTTTCGGGAACCTTTTCAGAAAATACCTCGCCGACATTTCGCCGACATTTCCCGTTTTCGCCGACATTCAGCCCTTGACTTATTCATATTTAGGCTACCATAGTAAATCTTAAAACCAGAAACGCTCGCCAACATTTTCTGCCATTTTCCGACATTGGGAAATGTCAGAACATGTCGGAAAATGTCGGCGAGCTTTTTCAAAATTACACAAACATGATCAGACGTATATACACTTAAGTAAGAAAGAAATGTCGGCGAGTAAGTCGCAATGTCGGCGAAATGTCGGCGAGGTTTTTTGGGAATACTTGCTCAGGGTGTTTTTCCGCAGCCGTGTTTGCTCCAGCGTTGGGCTGCTTCCGTGACCCGTCCTGTACTGCTGCCTTGCAAGCATGGCAGCCACGCTTGTCCAGGAGACAGTTCCTGCTGAGGAAGCCACTGTGACACAGCAGAAAAAGCTGTTTCGAGCCAAAACACAAAAGCATGTTCTGATTTTCAAGATTTCATGAAATCTTGCGTTTTTTTTGAGGCAATGATGAATTTTCCCGAAATCAAAAAACCTGAAAAAACCCCAAATAAGTAGTTTTTAAGTTTTTAAGTAGCCCATAAGTAGCCCCTAAGTAGCCCCATAGTAGAAAACCCTAACTAACTTATGTGCACCCCAAGTAACTTGTAAGTACGTGCATACTTGGAGAGAACTTAGGGTACTTAATTAAATTATAACTCAGTAGTCAAACTACAAGTTACACTTGAAGTTAATTACAACCCACATATGTGGAAACATTAATGTGGTAAACCCTAACATACTGTCGATGGATGAAATCTGGCACCACCTAGGGTGGCTAAAATTACTGCAATTCCTAGGACTTTAGGGACTTAAGGTGGTGCAAGATTTCCTCCATCAACAGGAGGGGGCCAGATTGGGAACAATGTGGATGTACAGTCCCCCTTTTAAGTTGATAAAATATGGCTTTGGGTATATTAGAATAAGACCCCCCCATATACCGCATGTTCTATCTACTTAAGGGGGACTATAGCCCTAAACCCTAAACCCTATATTCCATCTGCTTAAGGGGGACTCTACACCTGAAAGCGTGTGCATTTCTCAGGTTCGACCCTCCGACGGGTGCCGAAGCCGAGCCGCCAGTGAAGACGCGCTTAAAGGCGGAGGGTTGGGGAAATTGGGTTTATAGGGTTTAGGGTTTGGGGTTTGGGGTTTAGGGTTCATGGGTTCAACTAGTACCCCCCTGTATACTACTACCCCCCTAGGTTCCCCCTTAACTTAATTAACCTTAATTAGGCCCAATTATCCCTAAATAACCTTAAAAGGTGGAGGGTTTGGGGAATTGGGGTTTAGGGTTTAGGGAATAGGGTATTGGGTGTAGGGTTTAGGGAATAGGGTGTAGGTTGGAGTGGGATTTAGGATTTAGGGAATAGGGTTTAGAGTTTAGGAATAGGCTTGAGAGAGTTTATTGTTATCATTGGATTTGGTGCTTAAGCTATCAAGAGTGGGGGGTTGGCAGGTAGGAGGGCTCAGGGTGTATGGGTTCTGGTTTAGCATTCAAGCCTTAATCCTAAATCCGAAATCGTGTGGGTGGGTTTTGGGCTGCAAGGTTTGGAGCTACAAGGACCGCCAGGTACCCTTAAATCTGGTGTACGGGTGTGGGCCTCGCTGGAGGCACAGGGGGTCCCGGATGCATTTGTGGGAGTGGGGGGGGGGGTTTGGGCCAAGGGGTCCAGGGCAGCACTGTGTGTTTGGATGCGCATTTTGTGCCTCGTGCTGCATGCAGGGCGTTCGGACTACCTCAGCAGCGGCTCAGGTTGTTGCTTGGGCAGAAGCAGTCCTGCATGAAATAACGAAGCGAAAGCTTCTGGACATCAACATCGAGCAGGCGTTGAACATGAGCCACGCTGCACGTCGTAAAGAGGGCCCATGGCTGATCAGATTTACTGGTACTTTCTGAGGGAGTATACCTACCAACGCTAAACCTAGGGGCGGCACATCTCAGGGAGCTTGATGATCGCTTCGTAGCGAGGACATCGATGAAACTTGCATGCTCCATAGCGCCTTCTCCTTCTTGTAG